TTTATTCCTGACTTGTGCTGGAAATAATTTATGTTCTTGAGCCTTTGCAGATGTATAGTCACTAGAGAGCTGCCTGCTTACAGGAGTTTTTACACATATTTTGTCTAAATCAGTGCTCAAAATGCAGTGTCGGAGATGCAGGGAGTTTGTGTGGATTTGTAGCACTCCCTGGAGGACTCTGTGTCTATAAACCAATAAACATTTCACAATTCTCAGCAAGTGAAGATTCTCATAATTTTTGATGTATGCAGTACTGACCATGCTTCTCATTTTAATTTCAGTAATATTCCACAGGTAATAAGTAATTGGAAAATAACTTCTTGCAGGTGAATGATAAAAGACAATGAAAATTAGTCTTACTATACTTAGCTGCTGCTGTTTTCGTATTATAAACTAAGGTGGCAAAACAAAATAATAATTTATAAACAAAACACACCTCACATTGACTGAAAACTACAGTGAGATGCAGATATTTTGTGATCAAAACATTCAAAAAGAAGGCAGGAAGAAACAACTAATTTCTATATAGATTGTTTTGTTTTTTTTTTTTTCCTTATGCAGTTTGAACATCACAGGTTCAGCTGAGAACAGTTTATTCTTCATAAAACTGACTGTCCCAACCTGTAGGTAGATGTGAAGATTAAAATCCCTAATTGTTACATTGAAATCAGTTGATATGAAGGACGATTAAAGAGAGGGTCAAGATTTCAAATTTATTCCTTAGTCAGTAGGATGTTAGTTTGATAATAAAGCGACTATGAAATGTTTTCTGAAAGAGTCTGAAGCCATTGTTGCACATGTAGAACTGCAAACATCCCGATAGCATGTATGGCTGGTATTTACAGAGGTCAATGAATAATAAATAATCTAGTTAAATAACCATCTTTAGAGCTAGGCAAACAAGAGAGCAAATAAATCAAGACCTCCTGCTCATGTACAGATACCAACCACAGTATTTTTTCTTTTTTTTTTTTTTTTCCCCTTTGTTTTCTTTGTTTGCTTAAATGGGAGAGACAAATAGTGGATGCAAGTGTTATCAGATTAAAATTGTGAAGTTAGTAAGAAGTGCTTTGGAAAAGATCACCAAATGGATCAATCACTCTATCAGAAACAGTCAGCAGGGGTAAGCAGTTTGTATCAGTAAAAGTATCCCGCCATTCAGACTGCATCAATTTATTTCTGCAACAGGCATAACGTGGCAAAGTTCAGAGAGAATCTCACATACAGCTACTGATATACAGTGCTGGAAGTAAAGGAGATTCATAAGCAAGAGTGAAAAAGCTTTTTTTTTCCATATAGGAATTCAATTGCTTTATTTTATATTGTGTTAAATGTAAAATTCATTCTTTTAAACTGATATTACTATGTTTGTTGCTTAAAGTATTCTCTTTCTTGTTTCCCTATGTGATTGTCTATCTACACAGAATTTCAGAAGAAGAAACGAAATACATGGATTGCATATCAAGTGCCTGCTTCCTTGCGTAATCCTACCCAGCAGTAATAATGTTTTTATGCTGAAAGATGGTTGGGAAAAGGTTAATTGTGTATCTGGATAAATAAGATACACTTATTTCATAATTTATTTCTGGGAATTTCTATGATATAACCCACTCTACTTGGCTATCAAGTTGCTGCTTAAATATAATAAAATGCAACACTTTTGCGTCTTGACACTCTTGATATCTACATAAATATCACTATGTGTGCAGAATGAGTAAGACACAACCAGTTTAGCACAGAAGCAGCACTGCTGTGTTCTCTGCTCTGCACTGCATGTAGCGCTTCAATGCTTTACATCGCAGCACAGAAAAGAAGATTCAGGGGATTCATAGGCACATCCTGGGCACAGGAAGGCAAAAGTTTAATGTGAGACAGGGCTTTTCCTTTTTGTTCTCTGAGTTTAAACACAAAGCAACACCCAAATATACAATACACAAGATTTATTAATGTATTTGTCACATCTCCTAACTGAGCACCTCAGAGGTATCTATTTATTGATGTGTCACTTTTAATGAGAACATATAGCTGTGCAAATGGTCATAATTATGGTCTTTGCCTACTTACAAGTGCCACCTTATTTTTGGTGAAAGAACTCCCTACAGCAAGCTGTATTCCCCACAGTCAACAGCTGGTATGTCTCTGTCAGAGTATTATTGGAAGGTTTCTGCATGATGGGATGCCAAAAGGGAAGAGTGGAGATCTTGATACTGTGGAGGGTGAAAGTGACAGCAGTGTTCTGCCTGAGACCACAGGATCCTCCTGGATGTATGGGCAACAGTCTGCAGACCCCAGTACTACTGGTGGAATGTATTTCAGGGGGAAGGATGGTCACAGGATTAAGAGCCATACCCTCTTCTTCTTCCCTCAACCCCCTGAAGCTTTTGATTTACATCAAGGTACGCAAAATTACATCCACACAGAGCTCACCAAGCAAACAGCCACATAGCACCTACCTCTGCCAAAGCTTGCTCTGATCAGTGCTAAAACCATTGTAAATGGGAAAAATCAATAGAAGGTTTGAGTGGTGGAAACTATATAGCTACTGTACCAAAAGTATTACATGAGAAGTACTAGGTTCCCTGGAGAGGATGCCTGGAGAAGATACCCATCTCAGGATGTCTCCTACCACCTCTCTTTCCAACTTTCCACTGGGGACAGCTTTCCATTCCCTTACTGCCTCTCCTATCTTATTTTTTTCTCTCTCTTCTGCCCCCTGTATAAATTTCACTGTCATTACTGATGTGTGCTATGGACTCTGCTAATAAATTTCCATGCATGTTAATTTGTCTCAACATCCTTTGTGCAACACATTCAAATACATATACTCTCAGCTTCTTAAATAAATAGAATAATTAAACACAATTTTGGGCACAGAACTGAAAGGAAACAGTAAGATTCTGAGCCAGCAGATAACATTCAGCTGTACACAGAGGTGCCTAAATGAAACACGGTAGGTTGTAAGATGTCATCTGTCCAGTAGCTTTGAATCAAGTGGTCAGGGTGAACACCAACACAAAATACCCTCTCTCAATATTAACAGCAACACACGATGGGGTTCCAGTACCCCAAAAGCCATTCTCAAGTCAACATTTGTGCATTTTAACCTATCCCTACAAATCATGCTACTCTAGTACTAAGCAGCTATGCTGCTATTGCAGCTCTTCAAGGCATATAGTACAAGGGTAGCCTTCAAAAATGGAAGCAAAAAAGATGCCCATAATATTTTCCTTAATACACTTCTCATGATTAGGGAAATAGTTATCTAGTTACCTCCTAATCATGCAACAGGGTTAATCTATTAACAACTTGCCATAGTATATATAGAACATTTTAAGAACTGAAAACACGTTCTACAAAGCAGTTGCAGGTCTGGAATGTCCATTAGTACTTAACAGCATCACCAGTAAGAACTGAAAGTTCCAGAGTGTAAACTACACCAATCAATACGAGATTTCTCATTAAATCCAAGTGGGACAAAATCCTGTTGATAACTTTTGTTGTGCCACGGTAGTAGTGAAAAACTGAAGTGGAACTCCTTGTATTCTATGCAAGCTTTTAAATAAAATAAAACCATTTAAAATAAAATGGTTAATAGTCTATTCATTATTAGATACAGGTATAGAATTTACACAACATCACACAAGAAATATTGTTTAAAGACTTATGAGTTTAAATTACGTAGGTCTGGGACGTCTCATATTTGTCTTTCCTTTTGAAAGTAAGTTTGGATGTTCAGCAGCTGAGGTTGAAAGCTCAAAACAGAAACACTGATACCTAACAAATGTTGTTCCAAATCACTGCCAAAGATACTAATGCTTAGACATCACATCTGAAGACTAAGAAGGATAATTTTGTGAGCAGCAGTAAGGTGCTGAAAACTACTGTCAGTGAGTAAAACAAAAACTACTTCTCTGCACATACCTATTCAGTTATGTTAGTTTAATTCAGGTTAACTCTCCAGTATGAAAGGAGGTGATGCAATTTGGAATTCAAATCCATGCACAAAAAAGCGTTGGCATCTGTTAGATTGCCCTACTCCCCTTGTATTCCATTTTAAGTAAAAGTCTGTGTTCTGGAATTGAAGCTGGAAGTCAATGCCAAAAGCCTTATGCTTTGGTTTCCTGTAACTCACATTTGATCTACTGTTTTCTCAAAATAAACTTGCATAAAGCATAATTATGGCCTATTATTGCTAAAATAGCTCAGTGAAATTTAAGATCCTCGTTTGATGGTCTTGTTACTGGTATAATCAGCTCCAACCATATATGCACATTGTCAATTAAAATCAAGACTCTACTTCATCCTTCCTCTGCCCCTTTCTTGTGAAAAGCTGACCATTCTGGAGGCTACCAAATATTTTTACTAAATATTTTTATGCCAAGTTTTCAAATAATCAATGGTTACTCCCTGACAAATCTCAGAAGCTAGGAGGCACAATGCTATGGGACCTTGCCCTGTTGAGTAATATTAAAAGAAAATGGTACTGGCTATAAAGAAAGGAATAGCAAAAATTTGTGTGCTGTCTGTGATGCCAAGGCAGACTTCTGAAGCTCTTGCCTCATCATTCTAGTCTGTAATTTATTTCAGAGAAGAAGTTCATTCTCATTTATTCTAGTTCCTTCAGTTGCTTCTCTGGAAGGACATTTGAGGCATACTCAGAACTTTCATTTCAATCCAAAACATAACTGTGGCCCCAGTGCAAGAGTATTACTTCTATTAAACACTGAAACTTATGCGTAGGGCCCTGACTGGAATAAGGGATGTTATATCAATTCAAACACAAAGAATGCAATACGAAATCAGACCCTGACTGAAAGTTTGCTAGATAGCCCACCTGTTACTTTTTTTTTTTTTAAAAAAAAAAACACTCTGAAACTTAGCAGAGAGTAATAATGAAATAAAAATTAAAAAGAAACTCTTCTGTTTGTAAATACTATGACAATTTTCAGTGGAATGAAGAAAAGAGTGCAGCCTGGGGTTTCTAGTAATCCTGGTTCTTTGCTCATTCTATGTAGGTTGCTCCAAAAGTAATGCTGTCTATTCTTTTTCCACAAAAACTACAAGAGTTTCAAAGATCACGATAACACTATTTGAGAGAGCAAGTTTTCAGCTACAAAACATTATTTTTCAGCACAGTCATCACCATTATCTATGCATTTTCACTGGTGATAAGAGCATGCATGCTACACTCACAAAAATCTGCTCTAGAAGAGGTAATCCACTACTTCACAGCTGCTATGACAGCATAATTGCTAGGAAAACATTGCCCATGCAGTCAAGCTTTCATCATCCAGAATAAATAGAAGACAGATGGTGCCAAACCTGGACTATACAGTAGGCATGATAAGACACTCTATCCAAGATAGACAATGTACTCCACTATCTTCAAACTAGTATGGGGCTTGGCATTATTGGGTTGCAAGAGAAAGGTTGTCTTCTCTGGCTGACTCTGGCAGCTTGAGCCTTCAGCTTAGTCAGCGTTGCGATGTAGTGTTCAGAGATAAGAGTTTGTTTGGGTTCCAGAAAATTCAGAAGGATCACCCATTTCCTATCCCTAAAGACAGTGCACATCACTTCACCTGCTGAGGGTTGTGTCATTTTCTTTGTTGGGGAATTCACATGTTGCCACTCCATGGGCTGCTATTCTGACTCCAACTTGTAATGGTGACACCACCTCTTATCACTGGTAACAATGTGATAAAGGAAAGCGGGTGAAGGAAACTGTTACCTTCATCCTTCTATTGGTTCAATAAGTCTTGACAAACTTGCATGTGGCATTCTTTCTGTTCCAGGGACTCACCCTGTGCAAACTTTGCAGTATTCTAATGCTGTCACCATTGTTTCCAATGTGTTGAATCAGATATTCAGCTCTGTACACAGTCCCCTGGTCACAATCATCTCATTCATGTGGATGAGCTGATTGAGATGCTCTTCATTTCACAGTTTTGACAGCTATGCATGACCATCTGGAACGTGGCTTGTCTTTCACCTCACTGCTGCCACTGCTGAAATATACCACCCACCACTTCACTGTCCTCACAGCCACTATTTGGTCTCCATAAACGTTCAGCAAGCATCAATGAATGTCAGTGGGTGCGATTTTTTCCTGCATGGAGGAATTCAAGGACACACCTTAGCTTCATATGCACTCTATGTCAGATGCCATTCTGTCAGACTGCCTCTCTGCTGCCATCTGTTGCACAGCAACAAAACGCAATGGAATATTGGTGGGAAGTTTCAACCTATACTGCTATACCACCAACATCCGCCTCTGACGTTATAGGCCAACATAATGGGAGGCATTAATTTTGGAGAAGTCTTTGCATATGTCCTCTTCATGAGGATGTGCAGCCCAGCTCCTAAATGGTAATGCAAGAGCAGCCAGCTTGGAATTCAGACAGCTGGGGTGTTTTGCATACTATCGTGTTAGCTGCAATGCAAATTTTTGTTATACTATTTGTTCCATAAACTTTTGCTCTGTAAACAGTGGTAAAGAAGAAACAAACACGCAACAAAAAATAAATCCTTCCAGTTTTCCCAGTGTTTCTGTCAGAAATATAGCTAATTTTAGGTAAAATCTTTTATCACCTCAGTTAGCTTGTTTATACATAATAGGTAATGCTGAGTAGTACACTTGATTAATGATTATCTTTTACATATTGATATTAGTACCTGAAGTGGGAACATCTCATTTCCTGAATATGATTACCATTTTGAAATCTTATGCACAGGGGAAAAAAAAAAAACAACACAACAATTCTATAAATTAAACAAGAAGTTCTAAGAACTTACATCCCCCAGTTCACATCCAGATACTAATGCATCTCATTTACTTTGTTGCTATTCCCTGGAGTTATCTGTGTCATGCAGACCAGTCTTGCATGTCATGTTAACTATCCAGTGAAAAAAGCTATAAGTGTACTTGTAACAGTGCCCTAAGCTAGCATACAAGGTAGGTAGAAGAACATAAAAAAATAATCACTGTTACATTTCAAGTTGTGGGGATATTTTAATTCCAATAGGATAGAACTCATGTCAGCTAAAGATGGAGCTATAATTAAACTGATATGGCATTCACAATTGCCTCAAAACCTGCTGTAGTTGTCATATGTTTCTTTTCCCCATCTTTAAACTATATGGAAATCAATTATCTCAACAAACCAGCTGTAAGGACTGTATGCCAACCACTTACACTTGAAGTGAATAAATTATTTGAAATTCATTATTGATGTGAACAACTCTCCAAGATTTAAAGCACCAGCCCATTTTCTGTGCTGCGATTCACATGGAATTTTAACAAGTTCAGCACTATCCTCCGTCATAAAATCATATAGGAAACTGTTATGCAAATAACTAGAGTTCAGGGATTGGCGAGCCATGCACATAAAATTATGCTTCAGATGACAAAGTGCCCACAAGTTAATGGTTCTTTACATTTAGTGACAAATTTGTTCATGATTTACCCCAGAGTGACAGACACAGGGTAAAAGGGGGACATCAGAGACTGAAAATACCATTTGTGTGTCAAGGATGTTAGCAACCTGGAGTGGTGATAGGCACTGGTGTCTACAGGATATGAAATTGAGTTGATGTGATGTCATTTTGGCTCTACTGTAACCTGGTTATCTCTTGCCAAGACTTCATGTATGATTAGTCAGCTCGGAGAGGACAGCAAGCCTTATCAGGCACACTTCCTGACATTCCTGTCAACTTAAGAAATGTGGCTAAGGAATTTAAGATGAAGTGTCACATCTTCATATCAAATCCCATTGAGTCACCACCTACAAGTTTGAAGACTCCTTCTAAAAACATTAATGAAAAAATGAAGTTTAGGCTGGATTTGACCTTGTAATGCATTCTGTGTGTGACATCTCTCTAAGTTAGTATCTTTAATCTGCATGCTTTTTTTTTTTTTTGTATACATAGAAATAATTGGTATGCAGGCTGTGAAAAAATAATATTCATTAATACTAATGCAAATGCATGTTTTGAGTTAACTGACTTCTAGTCTATAGACTCAGCCAACCTTTTATGTGCCTGAGCAATTTTAAAAGAAACTCCTTTGTAAAAAGCTTGCAATCCCATGTATTTAACAAGGACTATATTTGTAACGGTTAATAGACAGATGAAAATACTCAGCATAACAATATTTTTCATCTCTTCAAAGAAAAAGCTTGTACAATGTAATATTTGCACTGTATACAGACTCTTTCAAGTTTCTTTTCAAAAGCAAGTTAGCAGCATGCTATTTTTATGCCATTACATTTGTCCAACTGAACAATTTGTATTATTAAAGCAGTTGCATTCTATTCCTTGCAGTGGGGCTCAAAGTTAAAATTCATTGCTAAGCCAAAAAGATTCCTCGTATACCTCAAACCAGAACAATGCCTAAACAAGGCACAGAAGAATCTGTCTAAATATCCAACTCTTCAGCCATTGCCAAGTTATTCTTCCATGTACTTAAGGGCCTCTTAGGTTCCAAAGTATCTTCTCAGAGAGCATACAACCACCTCATAGATCTTGAAGAGAAGCTCGTACAGTTCCATGTTCTGACATGAATTGTAAACTATTCAATACCATTTTCTTAGATAAAAATTGTGTATCTGTGCTTTGTTAATGGCATAGAAAAAATACTTCTACATAGTGCATATATTCTTGACTTCTTCACATGGGGCTGATACAGGGGTACACGTCCAGAACATACCCAGTTTGCAAGCATGTCCAAGAAAAAACAATAGAGGACTATAATCATTTACAAGAGCCCTGAGGAAAAGATTCTAAAACTAGTATAAACTTTGTTTTTTTTACAATACTAATCAGAGCACCAATGAACTTCTTTCTGCACCTTATTTATTTTACTGTGTTCACCTTTCACAAGCTATTTGGTTGAATAGTTCTTTTTGCTCTTCCCAAGTCAGTTTGTGATGCTTGAGGATGTGCTCCCTGAAATCCTGGTCCCAAGTTCAAATACACTGTTTATCTAATCTAACCCTGCATGTGGCAGGAGTTTGGAAACATACAATCTTTGAGATCCTTTCCAACCCAAGCCATTCTATGATTCCATCAGCCTACCTTACATTTTAAACCTAGCCTGTGCATTGCCTAGGCTTCCTCTGTAGTCAAACAAGTGAGACAGGCATTCTCAAAAAGGCAAAACAACTCATACGAAGAAATTTATCCAAGACCAGAGGAAGGGGATCTGTCTCAAGGATGACTATTTCTTTCCTTAGACAAAGGAACGTGTTGGAAAAAAAAAAAAAAAAAAATCAGGACAAGCTATTACACTCCGATTTTTTTTTTTTTTTAAATATATCTTGGACATATAGTTTGGGCTTATCTCTGTCTCTTAAATCAAACAATTTGTTAGAAATATTTCTTAATGTTTTAACTTTAAAAGTACATTTATAGGACAAACACGTAGCTGATGATCAGTGCTAAAAAGCTATGTACTGCATTTAGCTTTATAGGAGATAATAATGTTAAGAACTTACACAGACCTTAGTCTTACCCTTATCAAGGTCAATTAAAATTTTGCTAATGACATCAATGAAGAAAAGTTCAGGCCAGGACAGAGTAGCTGTTGAGTTCTTCTCAGTGTTCCATGGGATAAGACAACTGCTTTGCAGCATTTTTAACACTGTTCTCAATTCTAAAGAAATTTTCTTTTATTATTTGAGAATTCATTTTCCAATTAAGTCTTCAAAATATTCTGAAATAAATTCCTCCATGATTAGACCACGTAATCAATTTATGCAGTTTACTATTATGTCTTAAAATGGCATTTTAATCTCTGTCCAAGAAATAAATAATCAGGATGTTCCAAGCTTGATCTGGAACTGGAATAATTCTGAAGAGCTTAACTGTTGTCAACAGGAGGTATCACGGCAAAAAAAAAAGAGACACTGCTCCAACTAGTCTTTTGCTGACAGGGACAAAGAAAACCATTTAGTCTTCTTTTCCCATCTACTAGTTCTCCAGAATAATGAGTCAAAAATGACTTTTCATATTATCTCTGAGGTGAAACTAGAAGTTGCTGGGAGGGGGAACCTTCTGTGTAGGATATATGAAAGAAGCTGAAGGAAGAATGGAAAGAAATGGAAATGTAATGAAGATGTGGAGCACCTGAAATGGATTTCTGAAACATGTAAATAGCATTTAAGTGAACCAAGGATATATGCAGGAATGTGCCTTTCTAAATATGAAGATGTTCTGTTATCTAAATTATTTTAATCATTATTTATTGCTTTTGAAAATTGGCATAAGTGATACACATCTTTACCTAAGAAGAAAAATAATTACTGTTATATATTTTTCAATCATAACCTGCCCTGTGATTAAATAGAGGGCTTTGGAAACTCCAAGAGCTTTGTCGATCTAGCTCCTGCTCTTTTCTCTGGCAAAAGTTAGACAGAGCTCTGGCAAAAGGGCTTTTGTTTTTTTACAGCTGGGAACAGAAAGAACCTCAGGGTACCTGGCCATATCTTATTATGCTGTTATCTATTCCTGACTCCTGATTTTCTTGAACAAGGTCCTTGAAGGTTGTTTGCACCAAACCCATCCCCTCCAGGAATGTCGTCATCACATGTGTGTCCTGTTAGCCATCCTTGTTTTCCCAAATGCAGTCCAGTTCTGCTATTTTTTGCTGGGCCCTTGACAGTGTGTCATCTTTGAAATGTCACTGCACTAACCTTTCACTCTGTTTGGGGTGCCAGTGTCAACAGAAGGCGCCTCCAAAAGGATGTGCTTTTGATTGGCAAAGACAGAATGATTGACACTAGGCTAGTAGTCTGTCAGAGCTGAAGCATATCATCTCATGGCAAAGCTATTCTGCTCAGTGCCACCCATTTCCAGCCTATATGCCATGTTGCTGCATTTCAACCCAATGTCAAAGAAAGCTAACAATTGGTATCAGTGAAGTATGATAAAAAGCAAGCCTACCACTAACCACTGATGGAAACAGCTATATTTCAGATAGTAAGGAAAGCATTTTAAGTCTATTTATGTGTCTCTCTATCTCTATGTTTTGACATGCATGTGCATACTCAACTGTCTGATTCTTCATTATAGAACTGTAAGTGTTGAATAATTAAGAAGGCCCGATTCTTCATTCTTTATTTCTCTGTCTGGGGAGTTAATACGAGTTTTTCTAGACACCAGTCCTGCAGATTGAACTTAGCTATCAGCAACTCTGGTTTGGATACCTGCAAAGTTTTAAAATTCTCTGGCTTGTCGTTCTCACACTTTTACTAAAGATATGCCTTGGAATAATTAGAAAGTGTTTAAATAGTGGGGTAATTATTCAAGTAATTTGTCTTTTTAAAATTAACAGCGGGCTCTTATCTACTTGCCTAAAACCAATGTGAAATTTTTATACTATCCAAAGAAGTCATTCCACCACCTTCTCCTGTGAGAGGGTTCATTTGCATTCACTGATCATCGTATTACGTTTTGCCTGCAGTACTTCCAGTTGGATATGCTATTCCTCTTCACTTACTTTCTTAATCTCCTGGGTGGCAGGCAGTAGCACTATGAATTTGGTGCTTTTCCGTTGCTCAGTTCAGCCAGTGAAATAGGATTTCCTTTATGAATATATGAAATGAGGACAAAAAAAAAAAAACAAATCTGAGAATTCCAGATTTTGTGCCTCATAGCTCAATATATTTTTAGAAGATGTGAGATTTTAAAAGCCTCCTAGATTTTTTATATTTAGATTGTATGCCTATTTTCAAAGGGAAAGTTTCTTCAAATATCGCCTGCTGTTGTTTGATTTCCTTGTCCTTTAGAAAATGTTAATTAAAGAAACTTTTAATGGGAACCCATTGGTATCTTTAGAAAGCACAGTCAGGAAATATAATCAAGGCAATATTAAAGGCAACAGTGAAATACATCCATGTATGTTTGACATATTATCTTCTGAATCAAGACAGTTCTGATCAGAAAGGATGCTAACTCTTCTCCATCCTAGGAATTTCCACAAACTGACTCTTTTTTTCCCTCTGGTCCAAAGTGAAATCAGTGGCTGAAATCTTGGCCAATTCCTCACAATGAAACTCCTTTACTTTTTTAAAAAAGTAAACTCCTGTACTTTTCTCCTTCCTTTCTTGTATTCTACATCTATCTGTTTTCTGATCATGTTTTCTCCTGCCACTTCTCATTCATACATGCTTCCTCCTTCCCTCTTCCAGCTTTCTGTTCACTTCCTTCCATTGCCTTTTCCTGCTTACAGGCCCACCTCTTCAGTATATTCACCAACTATAAGTTCACATTCCCACTGATGAAAAAAAAATTAACAGCAGTAAACTACTGGATTAACTTCTGCTTTCATTCATTCACTGTGATCCAATATTCAGATGTTTACTGTGTGTTTAATTTCACTGTTTTCAAGAAACTCTCTGATGAGTTTCTCTCGTCACTGTCCTCCAAGAACCAAGAGTTGGAACTTCCTTTCCACAATATCTCCCTTTGCTTTTATTGCATTATCAACCAGATCTTTGTTTACATCTCCCCTGTATCTCTTTAGCATGACCTCTTTCCCTCATCTACAAGAGTAATAAATCCTACGTGAAAGTGATTGAGAAATTTAACTCTGCCACACCACGCCCCATCTTCTCTCATGCTCATTCTCACAGTCCCATATCTTAGCCTTTCTACAACCAAAACCAAGCCTTTCACCTTCACTTAAACATTTCTGACCTCTCCCCATTAGCTGTGCCACAATTTTCACTGCCACTGAGAGTTATAATTTGGAATCTTTCACTTCCTGTCTAATCACACATCCAAGTTGTGTTATAATTCTGCCATATCTGCCTCCAAACCTTTTCTAAAATATCTCAGTTTCTGACCAAGTCTCACATCAAAAACTCTGAAGCATCATCTCCTTTACCACTACAGCAGCCCCTTTCTCTTCAGTCCACCTAACATTCACATCACTACTTCTGTATTACTTAGGACAATTTTCACCCACCAAATCTTCCTTGTGGCTTTGAGACTTTTAGAAAACTTATTCATGAAAGTCCTTCTTCTCTGTTTCAAGTCCTACCAGTTCAGTTCTTGCCAGAGCCCAGTATTACCTTTATTTTCTCTCCATTTTTTTTTTTTTTTAAAATATTCTTCACACTGTACTTTATTGACTGTCCACTGTGATTGCCTCCCTTCTTTTTGGCTTTACCTCTGCACACACAATGGGTGTCTGAAATCCTGTTTGGTTGCATTAACTGCTTTGAAACTGAGCACAAAAGCAAATAAATACTTGTAGCATGGTTACTAGATACACAGGGATACTTTACATACTGATGGGTGACTAATTGCCTTCATACTTATTGGTAATTGTTCTATTCTTCGTTATCTGCTCTCTCTTCATTTCATCCATTCAGAGTATCTCTTCCTCATAACTGGGCCACTGTAGACACTTCAGAGACCATCATTTAAATTTGGAGGAACTTTGTAATACCATACTCCCTTATTATGTTCTTACATTTGTCATCCCTTCCAGAAGTTTCTCCAAAATATTTTGCCTCAATTATTTATTTAAAATCATGTTTTTTGTAGATTGGATTGAAAATGTACATACTTATATTAACTAAAGATTTATAGACTTATTATTAGAGTAATTACAGTTACTGCTCTCATTTTGTATATGCTACTTAATACCATCATTAATAGCATAAACAGAATTTTTCAAAGTTTCCCTTGCAGAGAACACAATTAATTTAAAAACATACAGAAAATCTATAGAACATAAAACTTTGATATAGAATTTAACATACACTGGAGAGAAACTCCAAACCATGTTATTGCTCAAAACAGCTAAACAATATTTAATTCATGGTTAATGGTGTTTAGAGATCTCCATTGAGCATGGCTGTGTTGTTTACTAAGGGCCTCTCTGAAGGCAACTGTTCAATACGTCAAGCCTGCAGTTTTGGCACCTATTCAGATAGATTGGAAATAGGTAATGAGTAATGGAATGGGTAGCGGAATGAACAGTATCTAGATCTAATACCTAATTACAGCAACTTCTTTTTTTTAGCATTCAACAGTCAGTCACACCCCAACTAAGAAAGGACTTGTTTTGATAGTGCCGTTCAAAGAGTATACTGCTATGCTCATGGCAAAATACACTCAGAGACAATTAAGGACTGATATCAGGTGTATAGGGAAAGATACCATCTGATGAGTGACTAATAATGATGAGCTCCGTGATAATCTGACAGACTCAAGATATCTGTGAAGACTTCTAGTAAATGAAAAGCAATTCAGATGCAGCTGGAAAGAAAGTAGTTCTAGAGAAAGGAGATCTCAAATACCCTTGCGATTCAAGAGGGGAAGATCACTGCCTCTTAAGCCAGGCTCAGAGGGTGACAAGCAAGTGCAGGAAAATTGAAATTTTTTGTATTCTGTTTGGTGAGTTCCTGCTGCTAACTGTACTTCTAATCATTCTAATCCAAGTTTCATGGAGCCCAGAGCACTGCTAGGTTTTCATCTCATTATCTAAATACAACAAACAAACAAGGAGGCAAGTCCTCCTTTTTGACTTCTTTATTACTTACACATCCTTCTGAGGATGTCTTTATACGTGTTATATTAGTTCACCTTAAAATGGATTTCTTGCAAAATCCGTTAAAATTAGAACTGACTGAAGGCACATTTTTGTACTAGAATATGCTAAGGGAGATGAAAATTCCTCTGCCCAACGATATAAAATGTTTTGTGTACAATTAACAAAGGTACAGTCAGAAGAGTAGTGTGGTTAAGATGGTACTTTACAGATTTATAGCCCAAAAGATTATTGTAGTGGAAAGAGACAATAAAAAATGAAATACTCACCCACATCCTAGGCTAGTAGAAAACTCAAAAAAGAGGGATCTTCAGAAAGAAATCCTTCCCTAGTGGCAGCCATCCTTTAAGCGGGGTCTAGGAGAGGTGCAGACAGGCTCCACCCCTTCCAGTCACACAGGAGTATTGCCTTCACCTGTGCTCCCAGGGCAGACTCAGTCCTTGCCTCAGGTGATCAATCAGTGGTTCAGGCCATGACTCAACAGTTCCCATACAGTTCTGCTTTTTTGGAGTAGTTTCAGTTTCTTATGTTTTACTAATGGTTTAACTAAGAGGAAACTTCACATTATTTCAAAAATAATTTCCATATACAGACCCATGTAAAGTTTTCTAAAATAGATCACTATATTTCACAACATGGAAAACGTTTATCAATCCTATTAATCAAAAAATCTTTTCAAATGTTAAACATATTGGAAAAATTCCTTATCTACCTTTAGACATTCATAAAAATATCATTAAGTTTAAATTAACATTTAAAGTATAAAATACCAATGTAGCTATAAACTAAGATTGGACTTCATATGCCAGCTACTTCTTACTGAGTGATACTCTGGCTTTTCTGTAGCAACTTCTCCCCTTTAGCTGTTCACCCCTCCTTGGACAACTTCACATCCAGCTCCAGGAATGAGAGGAGAAAAACATCCTTCAGAAGCAAGGACTGAAAGTGGAATACTGCAACCTGAACTTAGGTCTTGCTTTTCTTTTTGTCTGTCACACATTGTGTTCTCTAGGATAAATACATCTATCACTCTTCAGAGTGAATCATGTTAACACTTGATAGTTAATTCATTGTCACTCACCTTCAGACTACTGTCTACCTCATAGCACACCTCTGTATGATGTTCCTTGAAAATGTTGCAACATTATCATTAGTGCCAAAAATTCTTGGTCTAATCTTTTCTCCATACCTTATATTTCTTAGCCCCCTCTGTGTTCTGTTTCCCACCTTCTTTCTTATAAACAACATATACTGACTATCTGTCCCATACATATACTGCATTACTCTGCACACCCCACATCTTCTCTACCTTTGGACTACTGTAGTTGGCTTCTCTAGTTCCAGCCTGCCTGCTTCTTAACTCTCTTCAGAGATTCCATCAACTGTCTATCCATCCCATGCTGATAACCCACCCTCACTGCCACAGTTCAGAATGCAGTGGATGCCCTTTTCTGCAATTACTCATTCCCATCACTGAACCTTCTACCTTTTGTCCCTTGGGGCCACTCAACCTCCAGCTCCTCCCACGGCTCCTTGGCATTTGGCCTCCAGTTGCAGTATATGTTAAGACCTTTTTCCCATCAGAGAATTAAGGTCTTCAGAGGCAACTGCAATTGCAAATGCAAATTATTTTTCATGCTAATAGATTATTGTCTATTTATTTTGATCCTCATCAGATACAACTGTAATTACCTGAAAGACTGTATAAACTTGTCCAAACATTTTCGGATTTCATAGTCTGCAGGATTAGACTTCTTTCAAGATTTCCAAAACTTCCTGGTGTACAGTGTAGAAATATTTTAAAAATAACATCTTACAGTATTTCAGTATTTCTGTTTCCTCTATTGGTCAAAAACAGGAAATGCAGAAGCGTGTGAATCTCAGGTTTTACTAAACTTCAGAAAAAAAAGTTCAGAGAAAGAGCACTTAAAAAAAGAAAACATCAGATTAGAAACCAGTTTCTGTTTTCACCTAAACAAGTTCATCCGCCTGCTATATCCATCCTTCAAAAACAACACTGACCGGACTGCTTTGCATATTTGTAATGTGCGGTTGAGATAATACACAGAGAGCAGGCAGGTTCCAAAATAGGCTCATGCTCCTTGTGTAACCCTGCCAGTGAACATCCTGACAAGCAATTGTTTGTTTTTCTCTCTTTACCAATGCAAAACATTTGGTAGTCAGGTTTTAACTTCTTTCCATTTAAAATGTTACCTAAGGACATTTCCTATCCCAGAAAACTTTATCATTTAAAAAAGCATTTCCCCCTTTTAATAGCTGCCCATTTAGTGCTATTTACTTCATTGCATATATAAAGTTAGAACAGTTTCTTCTCACGTGTACCACTGATCAACACTAAGTTTCTCATAGCATGCCAGCTTTTTCCCCCCTACTCTTTAGAATTATTTTTTTCTCTTTTTAGTCTTATCTTGAAATTTTATGGCTTCCTACATTTCAAGAGAATTTGACCAAGCATTTATGTAACACTTCAGTCTTGCTGCTCCTACATAGAAACCACTCTCAGTAAGTTGTGCAATGGGCACAAGGACTACTGAGGAGATCTGCAACTGCACTGCTCCTCAGTGTTTGGGTGGCTAGCCTTCCTCATTCCCCCTTCATTTTGCCTTCCTCAAAGCAGGATACATTTAAGATCAAATACAGTTTGTGCTGAGGGATTGACCTAGAAACAACCAGTTTTCCACTGTCTACCCTAGCATGGAGACACTAAAAGGTGCATGCATAAAGCAGCTCCTCAGTATGCCTCAGTATACCTCCTCAGTATACCCTTCCCTGAAGGTGCCTGAGAACTTCTGAGTTCACACAGTTAACAAGAGTGTTGTTGAAGAGTTGTGGCACAGACTCCACACTGCACTATTAGGGAGGTTACACTCAACTGGAACTATCTCCTAAACTAAGAAAATTATACTTATTCAAATTTATAAGAATAAATCTGTATGAAGGTCTAGGTCTTATAAGAAAAAGGCAAGCCAAAGGCATTAAATTTCATTATGTGCTCTCTTTCCTTATAGTAGCTTGCAAATCAGTTACTTCTGAGCTGAAGGTGACGGCTTTGTGTTTCAATAGCTTTTCATGGCCTGTTTGCCTATAACTTGATTCAAATACCTTTGAATCCATGAGAACATCCACAATACCCTGTAGCAATGAATAAGAGCAGTTTAAGAATGAAGAGGAAAACACGTTTTTTTTTTTTGCTTTCTATGTACTTCCATTTGATTATTTCATGCATTCCCTTTGGTTGCTGCACTACAGGAAACCACAAACAGTGATTCCCTCCTCATCTGCTTCCTACCACTTGTGATTCTGAAGATTTCCATTACATCACCCTCAGTTATCTCTTTCCAGGGGGAGAAATCCCAGTCTATTCCTACTTGCTCCTGCACAAGCCTTGCTTCTCAGTATATTCTTGTTCTACCCTAAGGCTGGGGATGAGTGAGCTGGGAGATCAAAACCACAGACAGTTTTCAGGATGCTCAAGCTTACATATTTACTGAGCAGCAGAACAACCCACATTTTATATACAAAGTCATGTCTGTTTTTGAAGTCCACATGCACAAATTTATATTTTTTAAAATGAACCTTCCTTTCAGTATTTTACTTCAATCACTTGGACTCAGGACCTCCTTCTGCAGTTCCTCCCATTCAATTTGTTTTTATTTTCCTGAAAAGCACATCGACACCATGCTTTGTCACCACAGTGTCTATGCATTTTCTAAATCATTTAAAAATAAATAATGACATATACATAAATCTCTGGGAGACTTCACTAGAATAGTTCTCTATTTAGAAAATGTACCAGTCATTCCCACACAGATTTGCAATGGATGGCTTCTCGGACACATGTGGAGTGCATACATGGGTCCAATTCTGTCTCTATGCTACTGCACTGCTCTGATGCACCTAAGAGCAGAATCTGACCCTCTGCTGAAATACACACAGCAGAATATGGTTGTTTTACCACTGAAGTAACTGAGTGTTGATATTTCAGATATAAGCATTTTCGAGTGTCATTAGTAGCGCTGCCTTCTGAAAAATGCATTAAGTGGATCGTGATGAGGAAATGTGCCCTCATCCAGAGACAACAGTAATCAACAAAGCTCGGTAGTCAACAAAACATTTAGGTGGCAGTGAGCACAATTTTATCCCTTGATCTAGTCCGACTTTTTGAAACATCTTAATGATATAGACACGAAACAAACCAACAAAAAGAGCAAACAGAAACACATTATATTGAAACAATTAATAAAATACCTGTAAAAAAATACTGCAAGTTTTAGAAAATTTCTTGCACACAGAATTTGTCCTCTGGGCATGGCTTGAATGTGAATTCTGAAGTTAACATCTTTCTGAGTGTTAAAGGCACCAGCATGGTTTTGGATGAAATACTTTTCCAACAACAGGCAAGGCTTTTAGGAAAACCCATCTTACATAATTGATGGCAGCAGCTAATATTGGTCTCATTATTATTGTCATTTAATTATAGTGCAATTCTCGTCAATATTTTTTGAATGTAATTTAACAAGTTATATGTCATTTGATACTATCACAAAATGTGCCGTTTATCCAAGCCATTGACAGCTATGCTGTTTTAAAAAACATTGCTTACCCAAGAGCATGATTTATACAGGTGTGCAATGAGGGACTAATGCAAAATACATTTTTACTAAATTACTGCCAAAAAAAAACAAAAAAAAAAAAAAAAGAAAGAAAAACAAAGAAAAAAGAAAATATCCTCTATCACAGCTGTTTGCTGCTTTTATAGCTCACTGTAATTAACGTTAAGATCAGAAGTGCCCTCATCCCATTTCATCCCATGTTCCGGTGCTGTCTTCATACAAATGAACAGAGTTATGTAACACCCCACTAAAGAAATGAAAAAATATTTGTGATAACAGTACAGAAATTCTCCATATACAGCCTAAGCTCCCACCAGGGAAAATGTTTCTGGGGACTTTAGAGAAGTACAGACCAAGTTCTCTTAGAAATAACAGAACCTGTAAAAAAACATTTCCCAAAATCCAAAAGAGATAGCTAGAGAGACGAGCAGGCCATGTCATTCTTTACTCCCCAAACCATCTGCAGTCTTCGTCTGAGGCTACACAGACAGAGCTTTGGCAACAAGTTCAATTCTGTGCTGGGAACCGAACATGGCATATTTCAACATTTCTCACAAAGTACTATTTAAAACCATTCAAGGCTATTCATAATATCACATTTTGATTTTTTTTTTTGTTTGTTTGTTTTTGTTTTTGTTTTTTTTTCTGGAGTTATATATATATATAATCTGTTATAGTAGTGAAAATATAATACAAAAG